TAGAAACTGACGTCTTTTTTCCAGAAGTCTGGATTTGATTTGACAACTTTCGTCATTTTCCGTGCAAATTTAAGTCTATTTATTTTATCTTTGGCGGTTAGCACTCCCTTTTTTCGTGTCTGTCTGTGGCTGTAACCATGTTTGTTTAAACATCTGACATATGTTCTATAACTGGCCTTTTTGTACTGCAGCCCACAAAACTCTACCAACTTCTTCACCGTAAAATTAACAHCTTCTTTYCTTAGTAATGTTATTCCTCTTATYAATAGTCGTTCCTSTCTGCTACTAAGAATTGGTTTTCGTCCTCTCTTTTTATAAACCTTCTTACCAACCTTTTCTTTGTCGKACTTGAATCCCTCTTTTGCGAGGCGACTTGCAGAGGACTTTGTAATATTTAGTTTTTTCGCTATTTCGCCAAATGACAAACCATCCCTCTGACGTAAATAGTATGCCRGGGCTCGGWTTTTAGCATGAATTTTTCATGTAAAAACCACGATTGTGCGGGYGTTTCAGRTAAGACTTAATCAAGACGTTCTGATAATGACGTACAATAAACGCTGACTCCGCGCTCTGACCGCCATGCTCGTGCATATAACTACGTCATTTCCGTGTTTGAAATGTGACTGACTCCTACAGTAGTTATAGTAACACAAAATACGCCTAGGTTCGGGCAAATATGAATGTTTATTGGAGATATGTGAGTGTGAACTACATTGTTCACTTCCTCTATAAAATATTATACTACCCCTGTCCCAACGGACAGAAAACGGTTCATTTTTGGTTTTAATGCGTGAAGCGACTGTTATCACTGTGCATTTAAACGAAGTGAGGTGCTGTTTTGTTAGGTAGCTCCTTTACTTACGTATTTTTTTCAAAAGTATATCTAAACAAAGCTCTAAACATAAACTGTCCTTGTATACAATCGTTGCCAAAATTGTTGGAACGTTTGGACATTTATTTGCGTTTCACACTACGCAAGAATAATTAATCAACTTCTTAAGCCCCCCTCCCCCCTCTCAATGTTGCGTGTTCCTTGCGAGTCGTAATGCATTTGAAAGCTACCTTGTCATACATCAGTAATACAGCAACATTGATTTTAAGGGGGGCGTGGGATTTTTTGAAATAAATAACAAGAGTCGGACCTATATTTAAGTCGTCTCGTTTAGTCGTTCCAAGTAATTTTGGCAACGATTGTAGTTCCGGGTCCAACTCTTTGCATAAGGTTGAAATTTCCCGCATCATTCATGGCTCCTGGAAAGCCT